TTTATGTTCAAAATTTAGCCAAAAGATCACGTTACTGCAGACCGAAAAGTTGACTGAAATTTGTCTTTGTGTTAACTCCGGAGAAGATAAAAAGCATGAAATGTGAGACAATGATGATGTACCCATAGGCAAGCAGAAAGGAAATATCAGATGGTTATCAGAATGTATAAAGCATTTTTTTAAAACAAATTTTGTGAAATCTGCAATTTCTTTGCTGTTTGCTTGTTTCTCTTTGCCTCGCATAAAACTTTCATTTCTTTCTTTAATGTGTCTTACGAATAGACAAAAGGAAAAAAGAAAGAAATATGAAATGAATGAAAGTGAAAGTTTCGCCTTAGCATTTTTTTTTCGCAAGAACGTATGTCATGCTATATATCAAACGTAACAATGAAAGAAAACTATAATAACTAGACACAGGACAAAAAGAACGAAGAAATATAACGTTATTCTCTCATCTCATCTCTAATGCCAGCATAATCGCCATCCTTTTTTGAACATATTAGATCACTTTTGAATCCATAGAAAATCTGATGAGAGCAGAGGTGGTCGGACTACTGAACTTTGGGGTGTGATCCTCCTGTATAATCAAAAATAAATTTTTTTCTCAATAAAAGTGATTCATAAAGTACTACAGAAGAACGGCCGTGAAATTCTCTACAAAACTTCAACCTCGAAATATATAACCCATTGTTCTTCAATTTTTTTGCAGCGACCTTTTTTCTTGAGGTTATCGCAATCTCAAAGCTTCTAAAGCATCTAAATTTGTTATACAAAGCTTTTTTCTGAATGAAATAATCTACCATATACAGAGAAAGCTATTTTTCGTTGAATTAAAAATAACGGTAATGTATGTTTAATAACTACATATCATTTGTTTCACCCTTATAAAAGTCTAATGGCTTTGATTGAACCTTTTCTAATGCAATTGAAATATCTGAATTACGAATTCAGAGTTGTTCTGCTAAATCTTCACCGATATCTAATGTACCACGTTTAATAACATCTCTTCGAAGAGCGTTATTCACAGTCAACTATGAAAACCCACTTTGCTTAAAATTCCTATTAAAAACACTGACTAGAATATATATAATCCATATACTTTCTGCTGCGAATTAAACATGGACCGACTGGTGACAAATCAAAAATCACTCCTAATCCTTTGTATCAAGCTGTTTCCGCTCAAAAGTTGCCAAATAGACGCTAAAAACCATATTTCACTCAATAGTGTGGGGACTGACGGATTGTTGGACGATTAAAAGGTGCAATCATTAGCGAATGCATATATACTAGGTAAAATGAGATTCATTGGATGAATCTATTAAATTAAATAAAGTTTTTAATTAGAAAATTTATGGCGTTTTTGGTTTTTTCTAGAAAGTAGTACTTTTCAAAATAAATGCATTTTACACTTCACAGTAGCTCCTAAATTTCGGCAAAATTGATTTATCTCGAAAACTACTTACTACTTTCCAGAAAAAGTCAAAAACGCCAAAACTTTTCTAAATAAAAACTTTATTTAATTCAATAGATTCATCCAATGAATCTCATTTTATCTAACATATATTCAAAGTGCATAATCTGTTATAGAACGGATGAGTCATGTAACGTCAGTCCACATACCACAGATACAGAATCAAATTTCACATCAATTTATTTAATTTTAAATTCAGTTACTAACGGTGTCCACCATTATGATCTTCCATTTTTTGGTGCTGTCGTTAATGACTCGATACTACCAAATTGGGTGATAGAGTTCGTTGACCCTGTATAAATTTGTTAGAACGGACATTTTACTCTTGGTTGTCAAGCTATAACATTTTGGATGTCGAAACAAGGATTTTTAGTAGCTGCGCAGACACCAATAATAATCAACCATGAGTCATTATATGATTTACTGGGAAAGTGACGTCATTATAGAAATTTTTGGGGATTTAAACATAATGGGGCTATCTATGTTGTGTCTTTTTGTAACTAGTAAAATAGTGAGACTGTCGATTTGTGCCTTCTTGTAATGGATTTTACAATGGATTTTACAATGGATTTTATATCGTTTGATTTACAATCAACTCATCTTTCTTATGAAGAAAGACGATGGTTATATGAACAAAGAAAAACAAAAAGTATTGATAAAATGTTAAATGAAATGGATGAATTACATAAAATGATTATCAGTTATCCAAGTAAGAAACTTCTAATTTTTAATCAATTGAACTCTCTTCTACTTTATTTTACTAGATTTTTCTCAAACTGAGTATGTACCACTTACTCCAATGAATGACACTGATGTACTGTACTATCAGACACTGGTGGATGAAGCGACAGACAATAAAATCGATTTGTTTCGTTTACATCGTTTACAAATGATTCAGTCATTATTCAAAGATTTTGACGATCATTTATTTAAACATTTTACCATAATAATTGAAGGTTACATATTTTACGCGTCTCAGACAGTGGTAAGTAGATAGTTATTTATTTCAAATAACTCTGATAGCGAAATTAACTGCTTACTTCTAGATTCTCCATTTTGTAGTTCGAATACGGAATCTCGTTTATGAGTGAAATGAGATCACTCTTATCTAATTTTGACTTATACTGTGAAACTCGAATAAAAAAGATCATTAAATTAACAAAATTAATTCATCGTATATCAAAATATACAACCGTTCATTCTACAACAAATAATAATATTGGTGTTTTATACCAATTATTACCAAAAATTAGATATACAATACCGACTCATGGAGCAAACTCTATTTTATGTACAAACGATTATTTATCGACAAAAATATCATTTGAAGTGAGAGTGTTTTTATTTTCATTCAATTATGTTTTAAATTAATAAGAGAAAATTTTTGTTTGATTTTGTAGGAATTACGCTATATTGATTACGAAACGAACCTTAAATGGAAACGACATCATCAACCTCTCGCAGTTATTTCGAAACCAACGATACAAAAGCATTCCACTGGTCTATACGGTGATCTCGCAGTCACTGTTCAACATTCATTGTCCATCATTTATCCGTATAATGATAGTAAGTATTCATTAATCATTCTCTTCATCAAAACAATTCAGGTTTTTACATTGTTTAGAGATCGTTTTTAATAAAAAATATCCACAATATTGGCAACAAGAAAGTCAAAATGAAACGGACAATGACAGTGAAGATGCATTATTTAAATTGGTTTCAATTGAAAAAGATAGTGGAGAATATGCCTATGTTGATCGATTATTTCATAAGACAATCCCATTTTCATTCCACACTGTTGCGGTATGTTTTTCTATTTGTTACGTAGATGTTTGATAGTATCAAGGCAGCATGATTTGTTGATTGCATTGTTCGTCACGTACTTCAAACGTACTGTATTCGAACCCGGTAATAGTAAAACATAAAGACACCCATAGGCAAACCAAAATAACTACACAGACATCCACTTCTACTGACATGGGAGCGACACAGAAGTGGATGTTTGTGTAATTACTTTTTATTGTCTGTGGGTGTCTCTATGATGTCTGTGTAGTTGTTAGTGGTTATCTGTGGATATCTGTATGCTGTGATTAGTGAAATGGTATTCCTCTTAATGGTATCACTGTCTCCTACTCTCATATGTCCTGTTTACATAAGAAGGCCATTTAGCTTAGCATTTCTTCATTAAAAACTCTCAGGATAGCAGGAAAATAACATTTTGTTGTTGTCTGTTATCCTCTTTTTTTCTTTTTTATCTTCCTCTTTTTTTTTTCTTTTTATCTCTTTCGTTCA